ATCTTTCAGAATGGTAATCTGTTCTAAAAAGCCAGATACTGAAATCTGGCATCTCTTCTGGTTGTCAGTCAGGATAATCCTGTTCCTGCCTCCCCATCCTTCACATCATGTATATATATCTATAGATATATTTAGAATTAATAAACTGTGTGATTAAGTCCCTGCATGTGCCTCCTGACGGCTACATTCATTCTTATGGAGAAAATTTATTTTGATACTGGTTCTGCTTCTCAGGAGCACATCCTTGGCAGATAGTGGATTATGGTTGTCATCTTGTAGGTGAGTCAGTAGCAACTAAGGCCAGATATGGTGCATTTAACACTTGCATGTAAGCAGCCACATGTTCCTCCAGCTTTACTATCTAGAGTTTGCTGCTTAGTGACTTCTGCAAGGCTAGTGTGAGAACGCTTAAAAAGGCACACTAATTGGCAGAACTTTAGTTACTGGAAAATTATTGTGTTTCTCTGTATCTGTTTTAGTCTTTTTTTTTTTTTTTTTTTTTTTAAATATTCTCTACTGTGTACTGAATTTGGTATGATGAGAGCTCTTTGGCTAGAGGAGCTGCTTCCTTTCATCCTTTCCCAGAGTTGTAAGTACCACTTTGGCAATCATCTTTGTTTAACCTAACCCAGAGCTGGCTTTAAGTGTTGGTAATTCAACTGTATGAAAAAGGCTACAAGGAATTTTTAAAATCAATTTCTGTGTCAAATCACTGAAACACCCAGTTAACCTTAAAAACATAAGTTGAAAGAAAGAAAGAAGGAAGTTAGGTTGCCTGCTAAAAATGTACTCTAGTAAAAAAAAATGGAGTTTATTTTGGTAAATACATAATATAAAATATTCAGTATAATGAAACAACATAAAGTATGCATAGTTTGAAAATAAATCACACATTTCTAGCCTTTAGAATAAGCTAAAGTACAGAAGTGATGACAGAATTTAATTTGTCTGACGCACATTCTACTATTTTGAATTGTAACAACCTTAAAATCCAGGAGTCTTCCATGCTTCATTGTTTTCCTTCTCCTTTTTTAAGAATGGGAGAATAAATGGAGAAGGCAACATTTCAAAGCCGCATGGGATTTCCAAACAAAGTGAATGTCTGTTTTTAAGAATTATAATAGGCCTATTTAGGACTGAAGTCAAGATTGTCCTGATTCAGGAATTTAGGATTATTGTGATGTAGCTACTCTATGTATTAGAGATCCTTGTTGATTGCAGAGTAATTAATATGATCACCCAATTGAAAAGGCTATAGAAGTACAACTTTTAAGATAAATACATAGAAACCAAGGGAATGACTGAGAGCTGAAGAAAAGGAAAAGCAGAAAAAGAGCTTTTTGACATGCAGAGCTATTGATCAGAGAATTGAACAGAAGGGAGAAAGAAACAGGAGCTGTATTGTGAGTGGTTTTAGTTTTATGTCACCGATTTTCCTTTAAGTGTTGTTTTTAACAGTATTGCTTTCTTTTTTAGTTTGAACTGGCTCTTTAAAAATCATATGAGATGGATATGACCTTGAAAAATAATGGGATTTAAAATTGTTTTGACTCTAGTGCAGCCATAGCCTACCCCATAAAGGTTCTTTTTTGTCAGCACCTTCTCAAGTGGTACGAGTTTCCACTGCTTCAGCACCACAGGGTATATCTGCTACACTTGGTACCGTAGGTGAGCTAGAGAGCTGTATTGATGTCCAAGACCCCAGAGCCCTGCACGCCAGTATTGTGTGTCAGTAGGACAAAGGGATGGCGCCAACCGTCCTGCTGTATGCGCCATTAACTAGAATTAATTACAAACCAATCGAATCCGTTGCAGCCAATTGGTAAACTAATTGGTAATTTTAGCTCTACATCTATATGTAGTTATCTGGATGCCTGTAACGGTGCTTTCAGAGCCACTTTTGTTCTGCTTCATCCTGCTTGACAAAATGGCCCTCATAGCTTTAGGGAGAAAGATGTGCATCAGTGAATATGGGGCCGCTCCAGCTGCTTGTCTTGTTTGTATTCCCTTGTTCGTAAAACATGACTCGGGTTACAGCTGCATGGTTCTGCTCTGATCATTTCTGATAATGTGTAGCTAAACATTCCTTAAAATAGGTTAAGCCATTTATTGTATTTTTTTCCCTGTGCCAACTAACTTCAGAAATATAACTCATATTCAGATTGATTCATTTTTTTTTTTTTTTGTAAGGAATATCTCAGTGGCAGACTTGAAAAGTAAATGATTCAGAATTAAATTTTGCTTTCTATGCTCTTATTGTTAGTAACAGTCAGCACAACTTAGTATGGGCTAACCTAAATGAACATGAATTGAATTAGCTGAAATTTTATTAGTGAAACCGAAAAAAAAGAACTGGATAAAATACTTGACTTGTTCATTTCTTGTAGCAGACTTTACTTATGAATTGTTTTGGAGCTGTAAACCAACTGCCTTGTAAGAAAGATTTTTGTTAACTTTTTTGCAGAGTATTTCAAAACAAAGAGCAACTTTTACATCAGCAGTGGTATTCTGTTTGTTTCGCTTGTGTTTGACTTTCTTGTGACTTCTCCCATATAACAACCAGCATACGCTCTAGATCTGTCATACGTACTTGTTAAAAGGATACCTACATGAAAGCTGAAGCTGGATTTCAAACTTGCATTTATGTTAAACAAAATAAATAATCATCCATATAATTTTATATAAAAAAGCATTTTGCATACATTAGAGATCCTTTTTCTATTAAAAGGGCAATTAAAAGTAAAGATGAATGGGATGTGATGATACAAAAAAGTGCATTAGTTACCTGTACTGGAATAGTTTTTACTATTTTCAGTATTAAAAGTTTTCTTGTTAAAATTTGTAGTTATACACTTAAGAACAAATACAACTTCATTTGTAATTGTTCCCCAAATATTTCTAAGTAACAGTTACTCACTTTGAGCAGAAAATTTCTCTTAATAC